ATTCACCATATAGCTTCTAGAGATTGTACCTCGTGCTACTGGTGTTGAGATTCTATTTTTGCACATGGGTTCCCAGAACAACGCCACCGGCGCTCCGCCCGGGATAGCGGCAGCGGTGCGGTAGCACAGCGCATGCCCCGCCCGCGCTATGTAAATTCACACATAGCGGGCTAAGGGTTTCACTATAGCTATGGTGAAACCCAGCTACATATAGCGGTTACACAATCCGCCCTGTATAGCCGCCCTGTATAGCGATTACACGCTGTGCTATGGGCCGCCACAGCGGCCCCAAGTGCTTAGCGACAGGGCGCCACAGAGCGTCTATAGTGCCTCATACACTTATAGATCACACACCAACACCATGCCCTTTGACCACCTCTTCCCCTAATCCCACGTCACCACACCCTCCAACCATCTATTAATTCGTGACCCTCTCCAACTATCAACACTACCTCATTGCTTCCCACTAGCATCTTGTAACAATGCGGGCTCACTTGACCGTCACTGGTCAGAATGAGCTTGATTGGTGGAATGTGAGTTTTTTTATCCGACTTATTACTCTTGACTTTTCTCTAATGCTTTCCTTTGCTATTCTTAGGAGCATGAGCACGATTTTCCAGTCCTCACATCAATGGCTCAAGATTATCTCGCATTGTCGGGCACATCATGCCCATGTGAGAGAACATTCTCATCTGCATCTGATATTGCAGTCCCCAGCCAAGCATCTTTGACAGCCAAGATGATTGGAGAGCTTGTCGGTGTACGTGAGTGGTTAAAGAGTGGCATCACACTCTCTGGTATATATGCCGATGCTTGGGCACACGTGAAGGCTTATCAAACTCAGCAAGACAAGGCTAAGAAGTAGGTGATTGTCCACTATTGAACTCATTTTTGGGTTGTTTTTGTTCTCAACTTATCACCCAAGTCTGTCTATACATACATGTACTCCCCAAAAAATGGTTATTTTTTCCTGCTTGCGTTTTCTCTCTTGCCTGCCTACTCAGCCTCTACATAGTTGTATATGGCTCAAACACACGTTTGTTTTACAAAAAAAAGCTCTTTTCTTTTTGTTAACCCATCCCCACTCTGCTCGGTTAGACTATTGTTAGTCACAATTTGTAATTGAAACCGGTGTGAAACCACCTTTGACTGCGCTATTAAGCAATATCTCTTGTGAGATTTTCCTATAGCAAAGCGCAGCGGAGCGGAACAGCCGCACCACTCTCAATGGTCATAGCAGCCCCAAACTGATAGCGTAGCAATTGCGCTTTTATCTTAGCGGAAAATCACCCTGCTCGTAAAAACTGCGGTTATAGTGGTGCGGAGCGGAGCGGTGGTGGTGTTGCCCAGAAGACCAAGTTGCATCCGTGAATGAATGTCTCAACTTTGGAGATGATGTGGCAGATTGAAATGGACCTCAAATACGAGCAATCAACTTGCATCTCAAAAGCAACCACAAATCCCAATCAAACTGCTGCTGCCAATGATACACAACACATAGATACTCAATTTGAAGATCTCAACCATTTTCAAGAGTTTGAAGATGGCATTTATTGTGAAAATGAAGCGGAGCATGAAAAAAACAAGAGAACAAGGCAGAAAATGGGTATATAGAAACACTTTTTGATGTAATAATATTCAATACTTGAGTTGAAGCCCAAACACCTGATGCTATTGTTTTAAATGAAGAGTATGAGAATGAGTATTGGGATAAGGATGAGCTTTTTGAAGAACTATCTTGATAGATTTTGATGTAAGCCCCTCTTGGATTCCTTCTTGCAGCATTGTGAAATACAATCCTAGCTACTTTTAGTGTCTTTGCGAGAGTTTTTTGCTCTTGAGCACCTCAGAGGCATGCCTCAGTGCCCACACCTAGGGCACACCTTTAGAAAGCCAAAAAATCACACCCAGGCCTGCCCCAAATTCAAAATCTGTGCCCACCACGTGAGCCATAGGTTTGTCAAGTAACTCTAGCAAATGTGTGTAATTGTGGTGACCAAAATGGCAAGAATTGAGATGGTTCTTGAGATGGGGGCTTTGTTAATTTCCACTTTGAGTGGTTGAATTGCTCAACAAAGGAGCTGTACAAACTAAGCATTCAGTCAGAGTCTGAGATGACCTGAGAAGATCAGGTAGCCCTCCCTCAGGCTTCTTGGCTTATAAGCATCAAGCCTGAAGAAGGCATGGATCATGCTCATGTTGATCATGAAGTTTCAGATGATGAGCTGCAAGAATGCAAAAACAGGGTAAAAGTTGGCAACAAAAATGTAGACAACTTGGAGAAAGCTGGAAGCCTTTCATGCTCACCTCTATGTGAGCCCCTTTTTTGTCCCGTGTGAATAGTACTCTTTCCTTGAGGAAGTGTGTGATTTTTCTCAAATATTCTTAGGCTAGGATCAAAATTAAAAAAATCAACAAATCCAACCAGTATGCAGCCAAGCAATGGAGCACCATAATCCCTTCTGCAGCCCTAAAAGTCCCCAATCCCAATAAAGAGTGAACCATCAGCCTTCATATCATTTTATACAACAATACTTTCTTTTTATTCACAATTTGAAGTTAAATCCTCCAACAAAAACTTTGAACCTCACATATTCAGGTCCATAGATTAGCTAGACTTGGATAAATTCAAAAAAATGCAGGACAAAATGCTATATGCCTTCAATTCTGCATGACCAGTCCCATGGAGAAAAAGCAAAGAGGTAGTACACTTGAGGAGGGGTCAAACTTTAAAATTTTGATATACCTAAAGCTAGAATGAAATCAGTAGGGTTTGGAATCAAATCAAGATGTGATTGTGTCTCAGCCTCAAAGGATGTGACCTTGTGAGTCTGAATGTAACAAAATCTGGTTGATGATGCTTCCAAATCAAATCATGGATGAAGGACCCATACAATACTTCCCCAAGGTTCAACCATAACATTCTGTCTATGGATCCACCTGCTATGATCCGGCAAGGGGTCTGGGGACGGAGGATGAGGACTGAGCAATCTCTAACTTGTTACTTATATTGTCAGATGAGGAGAGGAGCATATACAATAGAGTGTGACATCTGAAGTTAACTAGTCTGATGTGTGACATTTTTTTAAGTGCTTTTGATTTTACATATCACACTAACTAAACCAACTAGGTGTAATGTAGAACTACTACAACTTCTTATGTGTTTTCTTCTTACAACGGACTACTGAGCCTTTATAAAAAAATTCAATGTGAAAAGATGTGCACCCAAAAACTTTGAACAGAGAAGAAGAAAGGAATCAAGAAAAGAGATAAGATGAAATATAGCATAATGTTGTAGCAATGTTGATTCTAATTTTCCAAGTACGTTTTCATATGTGTGAATCTTCCAGTTGCCTGAATAAGTTGTGCTAGTGATGTGAGACATGTAATATGTGACCTTTCCCTGATGTTACATGATCCAAGTTATAACGCCACCAAATGTCCAAGAAGGCATGATTCATAATTCAGAAGTTGAACTCATACCTCATACTTAACTGAGGTTTTACAGAAAACTTCCTCTGGGTGAGCAAATATCAGCAATCAGAGTTAATATGTCATCTGACAAGATTACAAACTGTTGTAGTAAGGTTGAGTACTAACTGCATTCCTAAGTGATAATCTTCCACATCTCATAGTGAAAATCAAGATACACTTACCAACTTCATGATCAGACTAAAGTTTGAGCATGGAACGATGACACCCTAGTCTTGTTTCACATTCCTGAGTGGTTTTACTTTCATTTATACTATCCAATCCTTGTAATTCAGGTATCAAAAGCTGACTCCTCAGCTTCCAAGATGCATAAAATATAGTTTGGATTTCAAATTTTGATGCAAGTAGAATATTTGGATAATGTAAGTCTAGAGTGAACTCTCTGGGCACAAAGGAGTGCTATGATCATGGTTGGTATTATGATAATCAAAGCAGAGACAGATCTTTAAGTTGACTTTGTCAGATTTTACTCAAGTGTACAGCATCATGGTGATGACAAGAGAAAAAACTCATATATTACTCTTTACTCAGATCCTCCCTTCTCTCTATCATGCTGATGTGTGCTTGGGAGGAATCTGTGCAGGCAAAGCCAAGACTCTTACATAAGCCCCACTGCATTTTTCCTCCACCAACCATTCACAGCATCAGGTTGGCATACCTAGACAACACTTTCCACACTTTAGTAACTTATTGTGGGTATCAGATTATGACACCTGCACTGAATTCAAGCCTGAAGTGTCATCCAGGGGTCAGGATCCAATGATTCCCTTGTGCCCTCCCTGTACAGAGCATAAAAACGTCAGACCTCTGGAAACACCTGGACTAACTTCTTTGTGCTCTTGGTATTTTGTTTGGCCTACAGGGGTCAGGTAGGCATCACCTTTAGCTACCAGTCACTGCATTAACTTATAGTTTTCATTGATGTCTTCTTTCAAACCAAGCACTCAGAATCAGAAGCTGACTGCACTACACAACATTTGATGCTCTCATAGTCCAGCAATTTGCAAGGGTCAGATTGAGCCATGTGAGATGGACAATGCTCCATGAACAATATCTTGCTATCTGTAAATATAGTGATTATCAGTTAGAGCTGCTTTCACTTCAAAGCGAGTAAACTCCAATGAACGGTCCCCATGCTAGTTCCTAGTTCAAGATAATCATCAGCTTTCCCAACTTGCCAAAATTTGTGTCTGTCTTCCCCCAAACCTTGATCATTTGTCGGAGTCTGATATGGATTGATGACTGAAAGGACACTATGAAAGCATTGCCTTGAAAATGTGTCTTTCCTTGTAGTAGTCTTAAAGCCAATTAATTTTACTATAATTCCTGCGCTGGTAGAATTTGAGGTTATATTCCTTTCTGATTGACATAGAGTGGGTCCAATTGGATCTTGAATTGTGCAGGTGGATTAGAAAGGCTCAACTAAAGCCCGAGACATGAATAAATAAATGTGTCACCCACGTAGTATTTATAATCTTGAGTAATACAATGACAGTGTAGTCAGCCTTCTATTGTTGTGCACATTGTGATTGGTCTGTAGTTGATACAGAGGAGATATCGGGTTGTGCATTAGTCGGATTTTGAGACATGGCAGATTGATGGCGACGGCGAGGGTCCTTCGAAGTTGATGAGGCAAGTTGCGCTTGATTTTGAATCTTTACTAGAGATTGACCTCCATCTATAGCTTGAAGCTCGGTCACTGCCTGACTGGGGCCTTGCGGCGGAGCAGAGCGAGGAAGATCGTAGTTTTGTTCGATGAGATCTAGGCGAGCGTGTTGAGCGGCACTGAACTCTGCAAAGAGTTCGGATATACGACGACGGCAAGATTCCAAAGTGTTTCGTGCATGTGTATCTGTAGAGTCTTGAATCGCTCGGATAGCCTGCTGAAGATTTGATGGTATATCTTCAGAGAGAACGAGAATGAACTCCTTATGTATGTTAGCGACTTTATCGCTAAGATCGACAACTTGCTGCTGGGTTACTTCGAACTCTTCACGTGAGATAACGGACATTGAAGATTTTGTTCCACCAACGAGGGCTGAAGATGACGGAAGTCCGTCAAGCTTATGTCGCAAATCTGTAATCTCTTCCGCTTGCTTTTTATTGGTATTGATCAGATCTTGGACAACCTTAGTCATGTCACTACGAGCCTTATTAGTATCTGTTTGCAATTTCTGTAGCTGTTCCTCGAGTACTTTTATACGCTCTTCCGAAGGTTCGGATGGTCTTCCGATTGACGGAAGAGCAAGCTGCAGGCGTTCCGCGAGGTCGCGTGCCAAGGTTTCGATCTGGATGGTTTGTTGCTCCCGAATGCCAAGTTTTTTAATGTGTTCATCAAGAAGACTTTGATTATTGGGGTTATTCTGTATGTTGGTTTCCAGACTAGAAATGACCTTGTCATGGGCCCTCGAATCGGCGCTTAAGCTGTGTCCGCGAGTGAGAATCAATCTAGACAATTAAAAAAGCAGGTTAAATCATTGCGTGTTCGATAAAGGCATATCTTCGGGAGGCTTACTTGAATACTTCACTGAATGCGTTCACTGGGGAAATATTAGAAGCATCTGATTGTAAGTCGTACATTTGGCGTTCAGATTAAAAGGCGACTTTTCCCTTGAGAGTTGGAAGAATACAGAATGGGATGATGAAGGTGAAATTAAAGAATGAGAGTGAACCACTTTACACTACACCAAATGTAATCTTTACCCGGCGGCCCGGAATCCCCGCGCCGAAATTCAAATATCAGCCAGCGGCCCGATTGAGTTTTCTTAGACTCGATGGAGCAAGCCAGGCCCCCTGATACACCACGGGGGCACCCTGGGTCCGAATGTCGCCTGCCAACCGTCGTGCCGTGTTTCGGCCCACGGGCCGCCCCGGGGTCAACCCACGGCAGCGTGATGCGTGACCCCGGGCCGTCAGGACTTACCTTCCAAGCCAAAGTTGAATGCAGGCTGCCCGTGGCCTGCACTCCGTCCCCCGCTCGCACCTGGCAGGCACTCGACGGCCTACGTGAAGTTCCGTCGAGGGCCCGGCCGAGGGCAACCCAAATGTCGCCTTAACTTTGGCTGAAACCCGGGCACTTGGTGCCAAAGTGGAACATGCCAAAGGCGAAACATGCAAAAGGCATGCATGTTCCCCATTGCACACCTGAACATGTGCAATCGGAGCTCCATGAACATGCTGGGCCAAAGCAAACGCATGCTCCACAGTTCCTGGAAGTCCACGGGCTGAACATCCTGAGCCAAAGCCACGAAACATGCCAAAGGTTTAAGGCTTGTTTCACCAAATATCCCCCAAGTCAGAACGTGGGAGGGAAACTCATCTCCTCTTTCCCTCAGGTGTCTCTGGCCACAGTTCTCCCATATATTTATATGGCCGCCTGTTCTCGTTCTTTTTCCAAAGTAGTTCTTTTCCCAAAGTAGTTCGTTCTCTCTATTTGCGCTGGGAATCTCTCTTTCGACTTCATCGTCATTGACACAAGTGTCCCTTTCTCCGTCCCAAAAATTTCTCTTCTCGTTGCGTGGGTGAGGTTCCATATTGAGCTTCTGTCCAGCCGATCAGACCCTATCTAAGTAACTCAAACTGCACAATCTGCACCACAGATCCAAAAGGAGCCAAACAATCCTCATTGTCACGTCACCTTGAGTCCTCACCGTCTTCGAACATGGCACAAGGCCCTCCAGACCGTTGTAAGTGTGCTTGATATTGCTCAACATCGCCAAACTTCAAACTGACCCATCCGCCCCTCTTCGTAGATTTCCAATTGATCTCCACCGTGGCTTCGGATCCACAGTGGAAATGCTTGGTCTGTGGACGGCAGATGCGCACATATGGCCAGCATTCCAAATCCAAGGCACACGCCGACGCAGTCGCACGTTACGAAGCTCGCGTTGCAGCCGAAAATGTGAGGGTCCCAGGTCTCCAAGAGGACTTTGGAGACCCTTGCATTTCATCAGTCACCGACCAGGAAGACATATTCCTTGGAGAGGACCACGATCTTATGGACGCTAACGACCCCCCTGATATCAGTCCTCCGTCTCCCTTGTCCTTCCTCCGAGCCCTACAACTCGCGGAAGAGAATCAACCTAGTGACTCTGAGCACTCTGATCTCGAACTCGACTTCTACAAGCTCGCTGAAGCGGTGAACGCCATGAACGAAGGGATGGAATACGACGACGAAGAAGCCGATGAAGCCGCGCTCGAGTCCGATTTGCGTACAACTCAAGTGCAAGATGCTGCTGAATGGTACCCATTCAAGAAAAAAGAGGTCTGTAATTACTTTCCACTGATCAACGTTGAGTATAGCTTTACTCAAATGATCCTCTGTTACACAGCACATTGTAGCGTTATTGATCATCGGATCAACACGCAGCATACTTTCACGATCACAGTACCACCGTATACGTTCGATCTTGCGTATCTGCAGTGTTCAACTGCCCGAGTGGGGTGCCTTGCGAGCGCTCAGTAAACGTCTGAAGCAGAACTTTGGACTTCAGATCTCCGAACGGACCAGTCCCCATGGAAATCCTCTCTTTGGCTTAAAGATTGAGACCATCATTCGCAATGTGGGTAATATATCTAGACCGGCACGAGGCGGATGCACTGATTCAAAAGCCCTCTCTTTGTATCGATCAGGAACTGGCCAATCCCCTGGTCAGCCCGCACTTGGTTTGTGTCCCAGAGCTGCCACACAACGAAGCAATCAACCGGTTGTCGCAGTGCCAGAAATGGCGCGAAGGATTCAGCAGAGACCTACGAGTGCAGATGGTGGTCTCACAAGCGAAGCACTGGTATAATACAAACCTGTTCAAACGATTACCAAACAGGTAGTCGTTCCGGTCTTCTTTTATCAGCAAGAGGGTAGAACAATGTCAAAATGCCTTCGGGCAACACTACAGAACCATCCACACGACCCTTCAGCGCTTCAAATAATTATCCCCGAAGAGCCCTGTTTTGATTCGATGCATCTGGACACTGTCGACGCTAGGGATTTCTGGAAAACAGGTCAAGACATAAAGCTAGACCATGCCACTATCTGTGATGAATATTTATTTCGTGGGTCCTTTGATTTAATTCCTTTATTTCGTCACCCTATTACAGATGAGCTGACCCATTCTTCCTTAATGTAGAGCGATGTGCGCGCGGCTTACACCGACTGCCAATCATCAACCCTTGGCGCCAACGTGCCAATGGAAAAGCCATCAAGCACATTCCGATCTCCTTGTATTCCGACGATACGTCCGGAAATGTATCTAAAAAATGGAATCATCACATGAGCGTCTTCTTCACACTTTCTGGTTTGCCTCCAAAGATGACAAACCAGGAGTACAATATTCATTTTCTGGCGACCTCAAACTGCGCCTCTGCGCTCGAATTGTTTGATGAGGTCGTAGACGACATGAAGTAAGTTTTTGTTATTTGTTCCAACATTATTTCTACAGGTTTTTGTACACTTGCTGAATGGCGCGATTGTTTGTTAGTAACCACAGTGCGAACGGTTTCCTCGCGTACGACCACGTCACTGGCACGGACATCCTCGCCATGGTTGTGCCTTTATTCCACCTGGGAGATTCTCCAATGCACGCAGAAATCAGCAACACCACGAACCCCGCTAATACGTTGACGCCATGTAGAATTTGTGACTTGCAAGTGTCCAAGATGAGTGACAAAAAAACTGAACAGTATGTCGCTGACTTTATCGGAGTCGACTTAGATGATGAACAGGTAGGGATAGTTCCACGTCCCCGTTTATGTTCTGAATTAATCACGGAAACTGACTATTGATGCAGTTTTCGTTGCCCAAACGAGACTGGGATGTCACCCGCGATAGGGCTTCCGACATTTGGGCTTTGGCGCAGCGGCCTCAAACCAAAACGGCCGTGGAGGCGGAGCAACGCAAATTCGGATTCCGGGATTCAGTCATGGACTACTTTCTCAAGAAGGTTCAGCAAGCACACGACTCAGCGGACCCATGTGATGTCCAGCGGCTATGTGACGACCTGAACCGGCAACTTGGGGCACATCTTTTTAACCCTATGTTGAGGCTCAGAGGTTTGTGTGTTTTGGCATTGATACACTGCTGAACCCCCAAGCTGAAACATTTTGAGCAGGTTTTGACGGCCATCAAGACACCCCTATAGAGACCCTGCATGTCGTGCTACTCGGAATTGCGAAATATTTGTTCAGAGACACTATGAAGTCTTTGGGTATTATGAAGCCTTCGAGCCAGCGTTACCGCGACCTCTCGGCGCGATGGCGAGCTTTCAACACCCGTGGATTGAACATCTCACCCATTCAGCCCAATACACTTATTCAGTTCTTTCAGAGCCTTGTTGGGAAAGATTTTCAGACAGTTCTACAAACTGCACCCTTTGTCTTGTTCAATCACATGCCCACGAACAAACGGCACCTTTGGATCACATTGTGCCTTTTAGGATCTTACGTATTTCAGAACAAAATAACACATATGGACTCTTACTTGCGAGACATGGAGGCGGCGATTCTTATGTTTTACCATCAACTTGTGAAGAACTCAGCTCAATGGGTGAATAAGCCAAAGTTCCATATGCTTACCCACCTGAAGGACTCCATCAAACGCTTTGGACCTTTGAACCTGTTTATGACGCAAAAGTTCGAGTGCTACAATGGGGTACTGCGCGCGGCTTCAGTACATTCGAACCGCATGAGCCCTGGCCGCGACATCGCGAACACCTTTAATAATTATCAGTTGATGCGAGGTCTGCTTTCCGGTAGTACTTTTTTCGACAAGACTTTGCAAGCACGCTTTCCGGCTGGAGTGAAAGTGCGAAATCTTCTTAATACCCTGCCTGAATTGGCTCAGGCTTTGGGACTGGACCCTAAAGCTAATCAGGTGCCCGTGCTCTCAATGGGACGTAAGTGTTTCTTGTCTGCTTCATGAATTATCTCCAAAGGAATATCAACATTGTTTTCATGAGTAGCGAGTGTTGAGGAAGGTATCGAGGTTCCAGCGTAACTTGCAAGTCAGGCCCCAAATGGCTTGTGGGTGGAACACCAGAGTGTCCTTTTGCCTAACCGTCAGAAGGTAGAAAAGGATGACTTTGTCAAGGTGGGCAAAACCTTCTCATCTCGTGGTTGCCCGTGCAATTGAAACTAAAATCTGTTTGTAACTCAATAATCTCAGCTCAAACATGGAAACGACCTCAGCCGTGTCGTCAGCATTTGGAAGCCGGACGGTAAATCGGCAAACTCCACGGTCGTCTTACTTCAACAAACCCAGCAGGGCGCCATCTCTGCCTTTTACGGCATGCGCGAGATTAATCTGACGGAACATGAAAGATGGGTGAAAGTATCCGTCAGTGGCCACATGATTGATCAATCCCTTCGAAATCATGGTGCTGATGTAATTAATTTCACATAGGAAATTAATTGCATCTTGAACGTACAGCACGATTGCCATTGGGCATCGTGCCCTGTCACGGATGGTCAAAAAAAAGGCTCGAAAGAAGAGAAACAGCCATTGCGATTAGCGCGATCTCTCACCTTCCAACCAAACACTTTATTTTAAACAGTGCGAGTCATTACTCCGCTGAGGCCCATCGGGCAGTTGCAAACATTGCGACTCGACCTATTTCCCCCGCCGAATGGGTGTCAGCGCTACATGAAGGTCTCAAGATCTGGCGCTCTGTCCCCGTCAAACCTTGTAAAAAAAGGCAGGTCAAAGGGAAGGGGAGGGCCACAAACCCCGGGAATAAAGACACAGATGATTCGGAAAACGATTCCGATGTGTAATGATGGCTTGGGTTGGATGGCCTTTGTTTTTTTTGTAATCACAGATTCTTTCCAAATGGGAAAGGCCGTTTGACATGATCATACAATAACCAATGGCCAAATGCCACTTTGAGATAACCAATGTTGACCTCACCAGTTGTTTGCGACTTTGTTGCTTTGGGCCAGAGCGTTCTGCAACCAGCCAAGTGCCTAAACGGGAAGGAGTCAGGCGCGTGTCGCGACTTCAGATCTGGGAGCAAGCTGAACATGCAAAGTGCGATGACCAATCAGGGGCCATCATGGTTCTTCAGCCCCTGGCTTCCAACTTAGATAGATCGCGCTCTTGAAAATCCTGCTTCCTTTCGCGCGTTTGAGTTTTTCCCACATCTCGCTCACCTTTGTATTAGCCCGCCATAGGATTTCTGTCTGAAAGCTCAATGTCTTCTCAATCTCACTCCCAATCTCAATCTCAAGGCGGGCGTCCTCAGCCCTACGCCTTATCAACTCCAAGGGGTAAGCCCATTTTTGCTTTCTGAAATAGAAATGGGCACCGTTTCTAAACCGTTCACCTCAGGTAACCCGGCTGTACGCAACACGGCCAACCGCGCGTCGTTGCGTTCCATTCGAGGTTTGGGTGGCAAGTTGTTTCTCACCTATTGATTTTGTCTCGCGCGTTAACCTTCCGTTTCGGCTTGTTAATCTTTACAACAGGGGGCAACTCACCGATGGGAGGTCCTGAGGAAGGTCCAAAGGGGGACACGGTATATATCTCCACTCTGACGTTCAAAGTGTCGCGCAGGAAGACTGATTCATTCTTCGTGTCCTGCAACCAGCCCAACGCCAATCTCTCGAACGAAGAGATATTGGCCGCGATTGCAAGATTGTCCACCAAGTTTGACCAAGAATTCTTAGTAATGTCTGACCAAGTGCATCAAGAGATCAACACCATGACGGACAAGATCGACGAAGATATTGCGACTCTTTCTAACAAGTTCGATGAAGACATCGCCGCAGTCTCAGCCAAGGCTGGCGAGCAGTTTTCGACTCTGTCGAACAAAATCGACCGAGTCACCGATGGTGTGGACGAGCTAGCGTCCACAGCCACCCCTGGCGGTGCTCATCAGGCTGGAAACCCACAGGCAAACACTGCAGTGGTTGCAACCCCTGCCAAACCGTGGAGCTACACATATGAGCTGAAGGTAATTTTCCAAACTTCACTGTTCATCGTCAAGATCATTCATTTTTGTTTGAATCACAGCAACGTGTGTATGCTTTTGCATACGAATCGGTTCATCTCCCCAACATTTCTGGGTATACCGCCGTGGAAGACCCCAACGGTGACTTGTTAGTCAATTCGCTCTTCAACACGATCAAGGTAAGATTGGATACTCTCTTTTGCTGTTCCTTTTCGAAGATCTCTGATATTTTCTCTCATCATGTATCATTGGACCATGCAGCAAAGGGTTAAAGACATACCCGGAACGTGGGCCGCTGAACAGCTCCCTCCGGTTGTTAATGGACTCCAAGATGTGGCTGCGACTCAAAAGTACACGACTTTGGTGAAAGACGCCGGGAAACACGCCCGTGAAAAGCTACACCTCTTAGTGGGTCTTCTCATCATCACGAAGCTTCGGGCCCATGTCGATGTCTCATCATTCACTGACTGACTAACCAATCATCCAGGTGTTACACAACATAAAAAACAACCCAACCGGGACCGTGCCTAATCTCAAACGCCTCTTGCATCGAGTAAGTTCCTTATCTCATTATGGCGGGTGGTTTGTTTTTAGATGTTGATGGTTGTTTGGACAGATCGCACGCCACTGTGGAAAAACTGCGGAAGGTCTAGACGATGTGGCCTATTGGGCCCAAACGCCCACGGCGACTCGTCTGCGTATTGCCTATCTGGTAAGTATGAGACTCCTCTCCATCTTTTCCGTCATGGTTATGTTGATGACTGATGATGTCGTTGGGCAGCGACGCGAGGCAATTCGGATTTTTCAATCGCTGCGCGCTGGAGGTGGCGGAGGGAACATCTGGCATCGAGTGGATTTACAGCTCCACAGATTGGCTGAGGAGGGTACCTTATATTCTTCCGCGTAAGCTTTTTCATCATCACAAGATGGTTCATGATCTGACTGTCGCTCACGCCTGACTTCAATCGCGTTCAGGTTTTATAAATTAATTTACGACCAAGATCGTGCCCTTTTTGATGGCAAGGGTTTTTTTGTCGACATCGACCTCAATGAGCCATTTGATTTGCCGTCGGAACAAGAGATAGAAGAAGAAATGGCATTCATAGAAGCGGCTGGGTCTATTGTTTTACAAGATTGATGTTTTATTACTTTCTTGTGATTGTGTGCAAACTTATTGTTCAATATCCCTTTCCCCAATATGCGAAATGTCAGGCTTTCACGCCATTGTGTTTGTTTAACTGTGCAGAGTGCATCCATTCAGACTCGATGCCCTGCCACACCGCGGGCACCCTTTCTAAAATAACCCAGTTGCGGTCTCCCGGCGGCTTTGTCGAGTGTTGGAGAACGCCTGTGGGCTGGCAGCAGGCCTCCTTAAGGAGGCCAGGAGGCCGCCCTCGTATCAGTCTCCCTGGCGCCCTCACGGCAGCGGGGAGGCGACATTTGTCTGACCAGCTATGTACCGCCTTTCGCGGCGGAGCCGCAGGCTGTCACAGGACGGTCGATTTTGACTGCCTTATGTCGGTCAGGACGCCTCGGTGGTGTAGTCATAAAGGTCCATTGTGTCAAAACTCAATTTTTGGCCCTTTTAGGCCCCGTTTGGTATAGCTTTTAGCTTTTATAAATACATTAGAAATTAATAGATTATGCATTGCATAATTCATCATTTTATGAAGCCAATTTTCAGATCTGAAATTCAATTTTCAAAGCAAAAATCAATTGATGTTGTTCGTTCTTGTTTGGTATTTCATCAAACTTGACTACATATCAATCAAAATCTACTATCATCATGATTTTTGATGGGTCAAGTCGTTTAGAGATCAACACAACTTGGCTATTGATCCATTGATGACTCGATAGAATATTGATGGATTAATGGAGTTAATCAGTAGTGAAATGATCACTTGGTCCAAGTCTGAACTCCTCAGTCTATATGTTCACCAAGAAACAGGTGATGTTGTTTCTATCTATCACCAGGAATTGAGTGAAAGACCAAAGTCAAATTGGTGATTGTGAAGGTCAAGTTATTACAAAATGAGAGTTGAACTTGTAAGGATCACAGTCGTTAGCAAAGATCGAAGTCGCGTTACAACAATTGAAGATATACAAATCAGACTAAGGTTGATAAACATGAACATTTGAAGTTTCTCGCGTGATAGAAAAAGAATCGTTTGCAGTCGTCAAGATTTTGATCGGAAGTCGTCTTGAATCTTGATGTGACAGAGCCCCGAGTTTTGAGGCTTTCCCAGGTTGATAATGGATTATTGAGACTTGAAAGCTGGTCAGGAGCAGCTTTCAAAATGATCCAAAATAATAGATTATTGACTGAAAAATGGCTTTTGAAAAGAGGGGCAAAGGAGGGCAAAAGCGATAACAAACAAGTTTTTTTGAAAAAGTGTAAAATAGATTATTTTCAAAAAATAATACATTTCTTCCAATTTTTGTAAGCCATACCAAACGGGGCCTTAGCTCTGAGTAAATTTGCTGGCTTTTGCCCAAAATCCCATTGTGGCTCCAATTTGACCACATACATTTGAAAAACGATGTACCAAATTTTGCCTAATTTGACTCCAGGCAGACAACAAACATGTTATGAACTGGGTTTCACGGGACTGACATACATTACACATGTCACGGATTCGTAGCTAGTAGCTTGTACCATCCCACATTGTACAGATGCTCTTTTCTCCTTATCCGACAATCACAATACAAAGACCAACCTTGATAGGATAACCCACCTCCCTCGTCCCAACCCCTGTCCGTGATCATAACATATTGTCGGATCTAACTGACGAGCGACGAGGACTCCAAAGAAAATCGAACGAAAGAAATTAGATTAAAACCGAGGAGAATCAAGCAGAAGATTTTAATAGATTAGATTTACCATTGATTGAAGAAACTTTAAATAAACAAAACCTTATCACCACTACTACCACCACCTACAGCGCTTCTAATACCAACCCATACAACGCCACAACGTCACCGACATTCAGTACCCAAACCTTCGACGAAGACGTCGACTCCGAAAGTGAAACAGGCCCATCATTTGTGGACGCGGACGCCCTCTCTAACACCGACACCGTCAGCATGGAAGACATTCAACGACAATTGAATGAACTTACCAATGCACTAAGCCAAGAACGCGCCTTGCAATTGCAGGCCGAGGAAAGATTAGCCAAAAACATGCGAACTCAGCAACAACCCGCTGCAGAGTCTCAACCTATGCAGACGGCACCCACCCCTGTTGATACTGCCCCTCAGACTAAAGGTCCTAAGGTTGCAACCCCGGACAAGTTCCATGGAGTTCGCGGCGTACCGGCTGAAGTATTTGCCAGTCAGGTTCAATTTTATATCATGGCCCACCCGTATCAATTCCCGGATGACCGTACCAAAGTCATATTCGCAATGTCTTATCTCACAGGCACGGCAAGCAGTTGGGCGCAACCGTTGACCAACAAACTGTTTGACCCTGATACATCTCATCTAGTAACTTTTGATCGTTTTGTGCAAAACTTTAAAGCTATGTACTTCGACACAGAAAAGAAGACAAAGGCCGAGAAAGCCTTACGCAGTTTGACTCAAAAAGGAAGTGTAGCTACATATACACACGAATTTAATTTGCACGCGTCACACACAGGATGGGAAGTTCCGACTCTCATCAGCCAATTTGAACAAGGCCTCAAGAAGGAAATCCGCGTCGCCATGGTATTAGTACAAGAACCATTCACATCTATTGAACAAATATCTAACCTCGCCATCAAGATCGACAACAAATTACACGGAGCAACAGACACCAGCACCACACCTATTACCACTCCGATTGACCCTAATGCCATGGACCTTTCAAGCACGTACACACGACTGTCTGACGAAGAAAGAACCAAAAGACTACGAGCTGGACTATGTTTCAAATGTAATTGTCACGACCACATCTCTACCGACTGCCCGGATCGAAAACCCAATCGCAACCCTACCAACTTTAAGGGAAAGAACGGGTATAAGAGTCGTATAGCTGAATTAGAAATCAAGATAGCCTCATTATGTAGTAAGGGTGAACATCAAGAGGATAGAGGAGAAGGTACCAGCAGAGCCGACGCGTCAAAAAATGGCAAAGCTCGAGACTGAACGTTGTGCCAATCTCGAGCAAAGTGGAAGTAGAGGAGTTAGTAGAGTTAGGTTCTAGCCAAGTTGTAATGTGCAATAACAATGATCCAAGGCTATTTTTTAGAACTGAACTCCATGTGCCCCACACTTCCCGAGCCACAACCACCGCGCCTCTTAGTTCCCTCCTCTTGATTGACTCAGGAGCCACGCATAATGTGCTAGGTGAGTCCTTCGCGAACAGGACAGGACTCATCGACTACGCTTTTGAAAGCAGCCGTGACATATCCGGCTTTGATGGATCAGCCAGCCAATCATCACACGAAATTGACTTAATCATGAACGAAGATTCAACACCGTCAAGATTTGTCATTACCAGAGTAAAAGATACCTACAATGGTATTCTTGGAATGCCTTGGCTTCTTCACCACGGCCACAAGATCGACTGGAAGAAGGGAACCTTCAAACAGGACGACTTCACCGTTGCCGTTGCTACAACAACGTCGTCAAACCCGACAACACTCTCACCTGGACCCAATTTGGAGCCCGTGAGGGACGCTAGGAGATTTGGCGAGGGGGTGTGTGTCATTCATGATACACTAACACCCCCGCAATGTGCGTATATTTCTACTTCTATTGATCATCACCCCGTTTCAGCTGGCAAGCCTTTATCCTTCCTAGAAAACTTGAGTGATCCCAAACCAACAACACGAGCATGTACCAACGCGCCAATATACAAAGACCGCATTGCAACTGCTGAAGCAGTGTCGTCAATCCCGGGAAACCTCTCACCTGGACAAATGGATCCCGTGAGGGAAGCTAGGGATTTTGACAAGGGGGTGTGTGTCAGTGATGATACGCTAACACCCCCGCAATGTGAGCATGATATTCCCCTACCTCCTATCCCTATACAAGAACAAGCTGGCCAGCAGGATCCTTCCCTGAATAATCCAGATGTCGAGATCCACGCGGCAAAAACTTCATGGTTGACATCAGCTAGACTAGCAGCCGAAGGCAAGAAGGATACCCCCCCGAAATCAGTCGAAGAACTTGTACCATCTCATTACCACCGCCACCTACACTTATTTGTCAAGTCCAAAGCCCAAAGACTTCCACCACGAAGATGTTACGACTTCAAGGTCGAACTAGTCCCTGGCGCTCAACCACAAGCGAGTCGAGTGATACCGCTATCTCCAGCTGAGAACGCAGCTTTAAGTGAACTGGTCAATACCGGCCTGGCCAATGGAACCATACGTCGGACCACGTCACCGTGGGCAGCACCGGTGCTATTCACTGGTAAGAAGGACGGAAACCTCAGGCCCTGCTTTGACTATCGCAAACTTAACGCACTGACAGTGAAAAATAAGTACCCATTACCTTTGACAATGGATCTGGTCGACAGTCTGCTAGACTCAGATAAATACACTAAATTAGATATGCGCAACGCTTACGGTAACCTGCGTGTGGCGGAAGGCGACGAAGACAAGTTGGCATTCATTTGTAAAGACGGACAATTTGCACCACTGACGATGCCTTTTGGTCCCACAGGAGCACCTGGCTACTTTCAATATTTCATGCAGGATATCTTTGTGGGACGTATAGGACGGGACGTAGCAGTTTTCTTAGATGACACCTTAATTCACACTAAGAAGGGTGAAAATCACGAGGCGGCAGTTGACAGCGTATTGGACATCTTTGAGAACCATCAACTATGGTTGAAGCCCGAGAAGTGCGAGTTCTCTAAGGATCAGGTGGAGTATTTAGGACTGATTATATCTCATAATCAAGTCAGGATGGACCCAATGAAGGTAAAGGCTGTAACCGACTGGCCAGAACCGCGGAACGTCACCGAGCTCCAACGATTTATAGGTTTTTCCAATTTCTACCGAAGATTCATAGATCATTTTTCCAGCACAACACGTCCACTGCACGACCTCACAAAGAACACAACGCCATTCATCTGGGACGAGAGATGCAGGAACGCTTTTGACAGTCTGAAGAGATCTTTCACCTCAGCCCCTGTTCTGAAGATCGCGGATC